CAACTCATTAACAGTCTATTTGACCTACATGTCTTTGGACTCTGCGAGGGAACGGGATCAGAGAGGGGAAACTAAATCTGAGATAGAGGGGCACGACAACAGAAAGAAGGGTGAACTGCTAACTGATGCTCGATTTACCTTTGAGTCACTGCGTCACCTTACACAAATCCAACTACAGTGATTGACACTCTTTGCCTGTGCTGCTCAGTGAGGTGTTAGCAGATCTATTGAACAGGAAAGAGTTCTTTCAGAATTAAAGATACAAGAATGATTAACCCAAATCCTTTAGATCTGGTAACAAAAGATTAATTTTCTTTCAAATGATGTGTATAACAAGATTATTACAAATTTCAAGTTTCATTACAGAATTATCAGCACAGCATTTGTGACAATTAGTGCACTGTATCTTGGGCTTATATGAGAATGTCTTTCATTTAATCAAGCGTGTTAGTGCAGTGTATGACAAATGGTTTTTCATGTGGCTCAAACAACAAAAAATATTGTGGGATGCTGGACCTTTGGCTGTACCCTGGAAGTACCCAGATGTGGCACACGTTTATAGGTTGCAGTCTCGCTCTGAGGTTACTTTTGCTTAAAATGGTCAGAAAGTAAACAGATGCTCTCTGGTAAAACAACTCCCTTGTTGGGGTATAAAAGCACCTTAGAGTGCTTTTAACCTGTTGCCAGACACAGTATGAAAATAAACCATATGCTGCTTTGCTGCCCAACAATGTGGATACTTTACAGTGTTACAGACTACACAGTGTTTTAGGATGAAGAAAAAAAAACTTTATTACAGAATGAATTGATTTCAGATATTTTGTTTCAACATTAAAGCTCTAAGATAGAGTTAAACTACTAGTACTGCCCCAAAATACAAAGTGGATATTTGTGATGTCACTTAATTTACAGGAAAAAAAAGCCTTTAACTGAGACCGCAGCTGATCAGGACCTTCTGTTACAAGAAACCAGTATGTTTACCTATGTGTGAACATAACTGTTAGTGTCCATGTGCCGTGAACCATGTCTTTTTTTAAATCAATTGTGTAGTGTTACAACAATAAAGCCATTATGAGATCCACTTACAATGAAAAAGATTTAAATGTTGCTTAGTAATAAATATATGACTATAACCAGCCTATAACAAGCAGAAGAGGTGGACTGGATGTTGTTTACCAGCAGCTGGCTAGGTTTCTGCCCTCCACAGAACACGCCATTTAAATAGGCAGATAGGTAATAACATTCAACAAATGTACCACAATTGATCTTCAGAAATGGTGAACCAAGTGATACCTGAGATCATTTGGATGACTAATCTTAAATAAGTTATATAAGCCCCTAAAGATACCCTCTATGTGAATGAAAGTGTTTTGATCAAGTGCTGTCCTCCTCCCTCCATGCAAGGACTAAGAAACATTTCTAAATGAAAACAAACACTAGATGAAACACTGATATGAAGGATATTACCATTTTTCTACTAGTGAGTGGAGGCACTTCACAGGATCTTTGGGTCTGAAAAACCTCATATGGGAGGACAGTACATATTCAAAGGTGCGACCAATAGCATCAACAGACATTCATAGAAGCAGTTAATTGCCAGTAAACAACTTGTTGCTTTGCCTGTACCTTAAATCTCAAAAACTAGCTGTTCAATTAAACGAACGAATGAACCTTTCTGACGTGCCAACAACAAAGTCGTCACACATTACACAATCACCAAGTTGTCCAACTTTAATAGCAAATAGGAGGAAGATGAAAAGTTAAAACATGTGCTAAACATAACCACTGGACAGCAACTTAGTCTCTTAATCTAAAATAAATTCACTGTAGATAGGCAGTTGAATGAAATGCAACACACCCTGTTTTACCAACTCATAATGTTTGTGCTATGTAACATCTTGATGCATAATGTAAAACAATGTACTACTATCAACCAACTTCCATCCATCTTGATTCTGAACTTCTGAAATATG